AACTTCACCCTTCTGTGCCTCATTTTCAGAATAGAGGCCAAGTGTTCCCAACGAACTGTGTTCATGTTTTCTTCCTCTGCTCTTTTCTCAGAGGAAGAGATACATGGCGTTGTGGTCTTGAGCTGGAGTGCCCAATGTACTGATTCTTGGCCCGACGTCAGAGTGCTTATCACCTGCCTAAGCTTTGATCTGCATTGCTTAGCATCTTCAATTTTGTCTAATTCTGAAATTGTGCCTGAGTGATAGTATTCTTAAAGTCCAAAAGTTTCTCATAGTTTCCACAACTCACAACACAGGAAGATTCCATGAATAAGAAGTAATCAGAACTGAATTCTTGGGAGACAAAATGAGCTACTTGGAATAAAGGAACTCTCATCATTGCATGTATTAATGTGTCCCCATTTTCTCTTAGTTACTGCTACTCGTGGATTTGTCATCCTCGAGATCACTTATACACAAACTATCAGAAATAAGCATTCACACATGGAAGAGAAATGCTGATTTCTAAGCAGAGATAGTAGGACAACACAGCATTGGCAGTAGAACCCTCTCACATCTTCTTAAAAACTTCCTTTCAGTAACTGACAAGATTTCAGTTTATATTAGGTGACAGGAATGTCATTTTTATGATTGTGAGCCTAGCCTTTAACGGCTGAGCCATCTCTCCAGCCTTTTAGTCTTTTTAAAAATATTTATTTTTATGTATGAGTGCTCTATCTGCAATGTATACCTGCATGCCAGAAGAGGGCATCACATCACATTATAGATGGCTGTGAGCCACGATGTGGTTACTGGGAATTGAACCCAGGACCTGTGGAAGAGACAATGCTTTTAACACCTAAGCCCTCTCTGCAGCCCCAGAAATGTAATCTTTATATTGTAATGGACACAGGAAAGTGAATAACGCAGACTGTGGTGAACAGGAAGCGCTAATGCAAGAGTGCAAGTTAGAATCCTGCAAGATTGTTAGTGTTTTACCAAGAATTTAGTGAAAATATAGCTAGAAAATGTGTATCTGATCAGTTTTACTGCACAGTAATTTAATGGTTACAACCTTTTCTCAGGACAGATTTGGCTTTCACCCTTTCACTGTCACAAGAATACACTTGCTGATATAATCAACATCAGTACATTTTGGAAGCAGACACCATCTCTTGCATCAATGCTCATGCTGATTTTTAAAATACTGTTCTTAGTCTTTGGAATTTCATACAATGTATTTTCTCTTTTATTTTTTGCAATTAAATAAACAAAAATTAATTACATTATTTTCCCCTCCTTTTTCCAAGCTTCCCATAGTCCTCTTCCCTCCCCCACAAATTTATGGCCTCTTTTCTTACATATATGTGAGTGCATAAATATGTAAATGCAAGCTGCTGAGTCCATTCAGTGTTACTTGTATATTCATGATTTCAAGACTGACCACTTGGTCCTGGATAACCAATTAGTGGGCACCTCCCTGAGGAAGATTCATTCTTTCTCTCTTTCAGCAGTCATTAGTTGCTCCTAGCTCTTTGTTAGTGAGAATTCCTCATTCCATTTTAGCATGTCCATTGGTGTTGTCATTGTTCAGGTCCTTTGTAGGCAGCCATGTTATTGCGGTACCATAGATGTTACTTGTCATTTCTAGGAGACACAACCTAGTAGAACACTTCCTGTGCTTCTCATACTTTCAGTCTTCTCTTGGTACTCACTAACCCTCAGGCAAGAAGGTTCTGCTGTAGATGTGTGCTGCTTTGTGTGTGTGTGTGTGTGTGTGTGTGTGTGTGTGTGTGTGTGTACACATATGTGTGCATCTGTTGCATCTCTCCAAGAAATGTCCGTCACATAATTGGTCCCTGAGAAGGGACACCTAAGAACCAGTAACTTGGGGAGAAAAATGTGCATGGTACTAGGTGTGGGAAGCAAGCCAGGTAACTGAGGCTGATCAGGTTGGGGGGGAGCATCCAAGAACAAAATTCCAATACAACCATTCTTTCCCAAGTTAACAGTGGCTACATTGTCCCTGCTATGGGAAGTGAGACATGCAACTAAGGATGAGCAATCAGGATTCCCATAGCACAACCTTATAGCATACTAATATCCCAGAACGGCAATCTTTGTCTATGCGATACGAGGTGGCCTTCCTTATTGATGAGTGCAGTCCATCATTTAAATATGGAGATGTCATGAAAACAGTTAAAGGTCTAGAAACAATGTTGCAGCCTCTGACTATAAAACACAAGGGTTGAGATTGTTGGCAAACAGCTGCAGAGGTTGCCTGGCCTCTGTTGTATGTAATAAGAAATGTATCCAAGGCTGTGATGGCAGCCAAACAAGAACTTCTTTGTGTAAAGAAGGAATTCCAAGAAGTAAAGGAGTTGGGGCTAACATCCTCCATCATATCAATCTGTGATCCAATCTGATCTGGCAAGGAAGTTAGACAAAAGGGAAGATGAGAGAGGTGTCTTGGCTTGCCCTTTCTTATAGCTTGGAGGCCAAGAGAGCATGGCAAAGTGATAGATGCTACCCCTCTGCAGAACATGTGAAAGTCACAGTTGGCCTCTTTCAGGAGACCACAATAAGATAGTTGGCATCCCCAGGACAAAATGGTAAAAGTGACAGATTGTACCTCTCAGAAGACTTCAGTAAAGGTCATGGTCAGTACCCCTAATAAAGACAGATGGCAGTCCTCAGAACAAGGTAAAGGTAACTGATGGCACCTCTCAGGTCCTACCTTTGATTAAAAAGCAAAAACAAAAACACAAAATCCAATATGATCCAATATGCATGCAGAGGTATACTAATGCCCAATAAGAGAAAGCAGCATAATCAGGAAATACTCAGCATTTGATCTTGAATTAGGGAAGACTTTTAAACGAGAAATGAAAAGAATCTGTTACAGCCTGGCTAGGGAGGCTATGGGAAATCTGAGTAGATGGGGTCAGTCTGACTGCTATAAAGGCAGAAAAACAGATAGAAAATACACTCATCTCTCCTGAAGGCAAAGGCCTCCAAAGCTGATACAACATGAGGGAAACTATTCCTGATGGACTGGCTTACTTACCAGAGCCATGAGAAACGCCCACTTATTTCTATCTGAGGAGCTCAGAAATACCAGGGGCTAGACAACTAGAGTAACAAGGACTACTGAGGAACCCAGGAATAACAAAAGCTGTGTTTGAACACAGATTCATTGGGAACATAAATAGAACTAATTTCACAAAGGACTCAAAGGAAACCAGTTGATGTCTTCAGGGACCAGGAGACTTAGATGAAGCTTTAGTGGTTTTGCTGAGCCCTTTGGTTGGGCAAGATCATGAAGTGGAAAGCCTTTGATAGAACTCATTGATTTAGGCCAACATGTAAATAATGTCTATAAAGTGAGAGAGCCACCTAAAAGATATCAAAATGTAGACTAGATGGAAAGGTATGTCCAGTTACTCAAAAACAGATGTAGCAAGATTTGTTTTGCGTTAGATTTCTAGACCTCCATATCCATAATGTGTAAGAAAATCTAAAGACAAATGCTCAAAATATCATCTGGACTTAAAAGATATCTACAAAACATTACACAGAACAGACAATGAATATGCATTCCTCTAGGGGCACAAGGAACTATCTCTAAAACAATTCAAATTATAGGGCACAAACAATGAATTTATGAAAAAAAAATCCCGTGCATCCTATCAGAGTATGTTGTACTATAAGTGGAAATAGAAAGACCTACCTCAGAAAGTGGACAATTGGTAACTAAAATATTTATCTTAAAATGAACAGTGAATAAATCCAAAAGGAAGGCAGTCCTAAAAAGAAAGGTTACACTAAGATTCTTAATTGAAATATCACAGAGATCTCAAATAATCTAATGATATACCTCAAAGCTGGAGAAACAAAGCCAAACCAAAATACAGAAGTTGACATGAAGTATAAATATATATTAAAAATAATAAAAATGAGGACTAAAATTTATGAACTACAGAGTTGAAGAACAATATACTGAACTAAACAAATAGTGGGTTATTTCACAAGATAGACAAGATCAGCCAACTCCTAGTGAAACAACCAGGGATAGAGGGGTGATGGTGGAGAAGGGGGAAAAATGGAGGGAGAAAGGAGGGAAAAAAGGAAGCAAAGGAGGGAGGGAGACTGAGAATTAAATAAATGGGAGACAATTTTAGAATGTTAGAAGAAATGAATACACTTCTATACATTTGCAACAGAGTGAACATTAAACCAGAAGATACAAACATCCTAACCAGTCCTATAACAATAACGAAGCAGAAACTAAAAGTCTGACCATGAAATAAAGTCCAGGGCCAGGTAGACTTACTGCAAAATTCTACCAAGCTTTCAAGATCTAATGACACTCACTATTCAAATTCTTTCACAAAGTAGAAACAGAAGGAAACTACTAAGCTAATTCTAAGGAGCCAGTATAATTATCATAATAAAATTAGATACACAGACACACAAACACACACACACACACACACACACGCACACACACAAACCATACCACAACACTATTTATAATGAATGTTTATATACCCCTCCAAAAAAATAAAAAAAAAAAAAACACAAAGACCTCAAAACTTCTTAAACATGTTCCCACTTACTATACATCACAACTAATTGGGTTTATCTCCTAAAGTTGGCTCAACATATACAAATCAATATATAATGCAGCATATTAATATACACAATGACAGAAATCATATGAGTATTTCAGTAGATGTAGAAAAGGCACCTGATGAACTATAAAACACCTTGAGGAAAAAACTAAGAAAAGATGGAACATCTGTTAGCATAAAATCAGTGGATGACGAACTGATGGCCAACCTTTAGTAAGCAGAGAAAAATGTCATTGTTTAATTAAACAATTTCCTGTAAAATCTTAATGAGACAAGGGTTACCTATCTTAATTCTTCTTGTGCTCTAATTGTGAACTACAGAATTAAGACAATATACAGAGTAAAAGTACAAAAATCCAATCCAAAGTTACCTATCCGTATATTCAGATGACAGGATTCTTTATTTAAAAGACCTCAAATACACCACTAAAAACTTGATACTTTCAGTAAAATATCAGCTTACAAAATCAACATGCAAAAATTATTAGCTTTTATATATACATCAAAAACAAACATTCTAAGAATGAAGTCAGTAAAAAGTGCCCATTCATAATGGGAGAAAAAAAGAAGTGGAGGAACATGATGATGATGATGATGGGAAGAAGTAAAATATGTATGGGATAACACTAACCAAGGTGATGAAAGATTTCTTTTTGTTTTGTTTTTGAGTCAGGCTCTCACTATGTATCTGTGACAGGATTGAAACTCTATTCGCAAAATCTTAAAATACTGAAAACAGTTTTCAAAGGAAGACAGTAGATGATAGAAAGCTACCACATGTTCATGGATTGGCAGAACTCATGTTGTAAAAATGGCAATACTTTTAAAAGCTACCTACACACACACAAGGCAATCCAGGGCAAAATTTCAATGACATTCATCATAGAACTAGAAAACAAAAAAACAAAAACAAAACAAAAAAACCCTAAACCCCTTTGGGAACACAAAAGACCACAGGAAAACACAATTTATACAGAAATAATAGTTAGATGTATAGCATTACCTGACATCAAACTATACAAGAGCATAGTGAAAAGAGCTGCAAGGTACTCATAAAAACAAACAAAACAAAACAAAAAAGAGTAGTAGTAGAGACACCAATGTAATGTAAAGTAAGATGCAGACTTGAACCAATATGGCAATAAACTATTAATATTTTTTTTTTCCACAAAATGCCAAAACCATGTAGTGGAACGGATAACCTTTTCAAAAATTAGAGGTGGCAAAACTAGATGTGCAGTGGTAAAAAGATGAAATTAGATCTGTGTCTTTCATCCTACAGAAAAATCAATTTGAGCTGGATGAGAGGCAATAACTTAATATCAAAAATGCCAAAAGGTGATGGGCAGTGTTGGCACATGCCTTTAATCCCAACACTTGGTAGACAGAGGCAGATATATCTTTGTGAGTTTGCTCTGGTCTACAGAGCAAGTTCTAGGACAGCCAGGGCTATGCAGAGAGACCCTGTCTTGAAAAAACAAACAAAAATAACAAAAAGAAAAATGCAAAAAAGTGTTCTAAAACACTAACAGTATATTTACATCAACATGAATATACCACATGTGGTATCAAATTCTGAGAAAAATAATCACAGTAGTAAATTTTTACTGTTACTACATCTGTGATGTTTGTGTATGTACAAAAAGGAAGTAGTTTTGGGAAAGAATGAGGTAAGACAGGGACAAAAAGGAGGACAATAGAAGAACTAGGAACAAAAGATCACGGTGTGTAACAGTAAGTAACATTTTTTACTATTCTTTGGCTTACAGCCTTATTTCCCCTCTTGCTGTGATAAAATACCCTTGTATGAGCAATGTCAGGAGAAACAATTTCATACTGTTCCTGGTACAAGGGCAATGTTTCTATTACTTATTTTTCTGTTGTGATGAAACACCATGACCAACACAACTTATAGTGGAATGAGTTTACTTCACTTCATGGTACAGATGAGATCAAAGTCCATGACAGAGGGAGGGCATGGCAACAAGCTGCATGGTGGCCAAAGCAGGAAGCTAAGAGTTCACATTCTCAACGGCAAACCAGAAGCAGAGAGAGCAAACTGGATAAAGAGGGAGCTTTTTATTCTCAAAGTTCACCTCTAATGACCTACTCCTGAACCTACCCAAATAGGGGCACCAACTCAGGGAACAAGTGTTCGGACCTGTTCCAAGACTACAGGTGACATTTCTCATTCAAACCATGACACTGTGAATCATGGTAAGAAAGTTAAGGCAGAGGAGCTGAAGCAGCTGCTCGTGTTGCTTCAATAGTGAGAAAGCAGAGGATGATAGATGAACAGTTGTTCTCAGTTCACTTTCACCTTTTATACAATACAGGATCCGAGTCCAAGAGAGATGGATTGGTTCCTCCCAAACTCAACAGGTCTGACCACAATTAACCTAAAACAAAACAAGCACACCCTCCACCACAAACACACACACAGCACACTTTGTCAAGACTGATCAGAACCAGGGATGAGTAAATATAATTTTCCAAATTCATCACACTTGCAGTTTCTCTCCAGGATAAATGCTCTGTTAGACAGAAGGCTCAAGGTGGCACCCAGTACCTTTTCACACACTTCACACTTGAAGGGACTCTCTTGAGAATGAGCCTTTGCTGTTTCTTAAAGTTTGGTAAAACACTCTGCTACATTCTTTACATCTGTAGGGTTTCTCTACAGCAGGAAGCCCCTTGTGTTTAGTAAAGGCTTAAAGATTAATACAGGTATGGTTTCTCTTCCATATGAATTTTCTTGGTGTTGTGTAAAGTCCGAAGTAAAGAGTTTTGACGTATTCATTCCATTTGTGGTGTTTCTCTCCAGTGTGAATATACTGGTGTTTAGTAAGTCTTCAGCAAGTATAAAATACCTCACCACATTCTTCCCATTTGTAAGGTTTCTCTCCAGTATGGAGTAATTTGTGCAGAGTAAGGTAGGAATGAGTAGAAAAGCCCTTTCCACATTCTTGACACTTGTAGGGTTTCTCTCCAGTGTGAATTCTCTGGTGTTTAGAACGTCCTGAGCGAGTACAAAAGACCTTCCCACACACTTCACACTTGTAGGGGTTTTGAGAATGAATTCTTTGATGTTCCTTAAGGAGTGAAGGGTAGCTATATGATTTTCCACACTCCTCACATTTGTAGGGTTTCTCTCCAGAATGACCCAGTCTGTGCCGCATAAGGTATGAGTGAGTAGAAAACGCTTTTCCACATTCCTCACAACTGTAGAGTTTCACTTCAGCATGAATTCTTTGGTGCTTAGAAAGTTCTGAGCGAGTTCTAAACATGCTGCCACATATCTCACAACTATAGGGTTTCACTCCAGAATGAATTCTTTGATGTTCCTTAAGGATTGAAGGATAACAAAATGTTTTGCCACATTCTTCACATTTGTATGGTTTCTCTCTAGAATGGCCTAATTTGTGCCGAATGAGGTATGAATGAGTAGAAAAGGCTTTTCCACATTCTTCACAACTGTAGAGTTTCACTTCAGCATGAATTCTCTGGTGTTTAGAAAGGTCTGAGCTAGTTCTAAACATGCTGCCACACACTTCACACTTGTAGGGTTTTACTCCAGAATGAATAATTTGATGTCCCTTCAGGTTTGACCGATAGTAAAATGTTTTCCCACATTCTTCACACTGGTAGGGTTTCTCTCCAGTGTGAATTCTTTGGTGTTGGTGAAAGTACGTAGACCTACGGAATGCTTTGCCACATTCTTCACAACGGTATGGTTTCTCTCCAGAATGAATTCTTTGATGTTGTTTTAGGGTTGAGGGATAGGAAAAGGCTTTACCACATTCTTCACACCTGTAAGGATTCTCTGCAGAATGAATTCTTTGATGTTGCTTAAGAAATGAAGGTAAATAAAATGCTTTGCCACATTCTTCACACTTGCAGAGATTCTCTGCAGAATGAGTTCTTTGATGTTGCTTAAGTAATGAAGGGAAATAAAATGCTTTCGCACATTCCTCACACTTGTAGGGTTTTTCTCCAGAATGAATTTTCTTGTGTATGTAAAGTGCTGAACGAGTACTAAAGGCCTTGCCACATTCTTCACACTTGTAGGGTTTTTCTCCTGTATGACTTCTACGGTGTATAGAAAGTGCTGAGTGAGCACTAAAGGCCTTACCACATTCTTCACATTTGTAAGGTTTCTCCACAGGATGAATTCTCTGGTGTTGAATAAGAAGTGAGTTCCAATCAAAGGCCTTGTCAAATTCTTGACATTTATAAGGCTTTCCCCCTAGTGAGTAAAAGTTTAGATATGAATAAAATCCAAAGTGACATTCTTTATCTTTATAGTGCTTATCTTTAATATGAGACTGTTACTTATACTTACATTTCCATAGACAAATGAGAAACTACAACACATTTCCATACTTATATTCAAGTGAAATTCAGAATACACTGTAGAGGGAAACAATATAAACTTCTACTGAAAGATGAAGACAAAGCAGAATATAGAAATATTGAAGCCATTATCTAAAGTTAAGTGGCTAAGGAAGTAGTACCATCATTAATAATGGAAACTTTTAAGGGCATTATGCTAACAGAAATAAGCCCACTAGGAGTTGGGGATTTAGCTCAGTGGTAGAGCACTTGCCTAGTAAGCACAAGGCCCTGGGTTTGGTTCTCAGCTCTGGAAAAAAAAAGAAAAGAAAAGAAAAAAGAAAAGGGAAGGGAAGGGAGGGAGGGAGAGAGTGAGGGAGGAAAGTAAGCAAGCAAGCAAGCAAGAAAGAAGCCCACTAGATAAACTTTGATTAGACATATACAAAAGTATAAAGTATCTATATTGGATGCTTTTCTGTTGCTGTGATAAAACACCATTATCAAGGCAATTTATAGAAAAGAGTTAATTAGGCTTATGGTTCCAGAACAACATGAATTCATCATAGAGGACTATATGAAAGCAACCAGCAGGCACAGTGGCCAGAGCAGAAACTGAGGCTCATATTGTGAACCCATACCATGAAGACAGGTACAAACTAACAGTGCATGGAGGAATTTAACTCTGAATTTAAAGCCTGTTGACACCTATTATTGCCTGAAGCAAGGCTGCACCACCAACTGGGACTCAAGAATTCAAATACAGAAATCCACATGGTGATATTCTCATTCAACTACAGTAGCCAAACTTGGATATTTGGATGTTAATTTTGATTGTCTTAAATTAAACGAATAAAGAGATATGGACTTTTTTATCTTAAGAATAGAGTTTTAGTTTTAGAATTTTGAAAATATTTGCTTCATGGCAAGTTTACCATCTATAACTCTGTGAAACTATAGATTTAAAGAGCTGAAGACAGTAATTTATGTTATATTTTCATAAAAAGGAAATAAATTCCTAAAAGATACAGACTTTCAATTTCATGTCTAAATGACAGATTTTTGCTAAAGGCAACATTGCTGTCAATGAGTCTATCATAAAGCTATCCTGTTTGTAAAAATACTCATTCACAAGATAAAACAACTAAAAAACATAATATGCAAAACATGAAAATGTGAGACTCATATTTGTCAATGAAGGGGAAACATGTAGTCCCAATGTTCACAGAACTAAAGCTCATACATTAAAAAAAAAAAAAAAAAAAAAAAAAACAAAAACCAAACAACAACAACAAAAAACCCAAAAAACCTTACATTGTGAAATGTTTAGCATTGGATATTCTACCCACAGAAATACGTAGGCTGCATGAGAAGAAATAATTTAAAGCAACCTAGAGTCCTAGAGTACAAGACAGTAACAGAAAATAGAACTGCAAGAGAAAGATTTGAGAGTATACAAAGTTCTGAAGACCTACTGATGAGCTATTCAAAATATGCATTTTAAATTGATACTGAGAATGTTGTAGAAAAGAAATATTAGAATACAAGATGATCACTCATATCTTGATGAGAAGTATGTTATTAACAAGAATGTACCTGATATAGAAGAAATTCATGTTTAAAGTTACTGTAATTTAGAAATGTGTGGGAATTTTCAGAGGTGTTGAAAACAGTAAAAAGTCAGTTACAATGCAGACTCAGCAAAATGAACTCTGTCTCCCTGTAAATACAAGCAGAGCTCACTGGAGGGGACAAACAAAGCTTAGAGACTTAAAGAACCATAGACATATGGCAGGTGTCCTTCTGTGACAACAAAGGACATAAAGGAAATCCCTTAAATATGATTTCCACCAGAACACTGTGTCTCAATGCTCAGGGTAAAGCCTGGCTTTCTCTTGGATCTCTGATCCCCCAGTCTGTTCTCTGATCCCTTAGTTCCAACACACCTGGATGCATGGTAGCAGCTGCTGGTCTCTTCACATCTGAAGGCCCTTGTTTTTGTTCCAGAAATGTGACTAGGTATGGCTTACAGGATGCAAGACCTGTTCATGGGAAAAGAGAACAACAATGTTTGTGTGCTCTTCTGGGAATTAATATCCTAATCCATTATTAAGCTTATAAGAAAAGGTAAGAAGGGGATGGAGAGATGGCTCAGCAGTGAAGAGCACTGTCTGCCCTTTCAGAGGTTCTGAGTTCTATTCCCAACCATCTATACTGGGATCTGATGCCCTCTTCTGGCCTGAGGTGTACATGCAGATAGAGCACTAATATACATACATACACACATACAAACATACATATTTTTTTAAAAAAAGAAAACAAGAATTGTAGAAAATTAGTTCATCAAATGTTTCCTAAGAAGCACATATAGAATACGTAGGAGGTACCTATAATCTGAAGTTCCTTAGCTTCATTTACAAGTTAAACATGAAAGCTGAAGGATGAAACATTCCCTTTAACATGTTTGCCTCATGCCTCATGCCACTGAGTTTATAGAATTACAACCAGAATTAAGGTCACATATTTCAAAAAACAAACAAACAAACAAACAAACAAAAAACCCCAAAAGCCACATTAAAAACACATGAAGAGGGGCTAGAGAGATGGCTCAGTGGTTAGGAGCACTGACAGTTCTTCCAGAGGACCCAGGCTCAATTCCCAGCACCCACATGGCAGCTCACAACTGTTTATAACTCTAAGATCCGACACCCTCACAGAGACATACACGCAGATAAAATACTAATGCATATAAAATAAAAACAAAATTAAAAAAAAAACACAAAAAGAAACAGTATTCTTCACACTATCAGCAAAAGTAGGTATACAAAAGTCAATGTTGATGGCACAAATTGCCCTGGGACGTTCTAAAAAGAGGAAGTTACATTTTAGTGGAGAAGTTACATTTTAGAAATAAGAGCTCATTTATGGAAGTAAGCCTCACCCAGGAAGACAAGGTTGCTGTAATTCTCCAACATTACATCCCTGTACAAATTCCACTGAGCAAGGTCCAGGCATTCCCACTCCTCTGCAGAGAAATCAATGGCCACATCCCTGAATGACAGCATTTCCTGGAATAAAAAAATACATGAATATAATACATATCAATTAAAACCATAATAACAACATAAGCAGCAGCATTATGTGCTTGTGAACACAATTCCAAGTTTTGCACAGGATAAGAGAAAAGCTAGAATGCTTCTGACACAGGTGAGTAACATTCCTAAGATACTTCTGATGTGGTTATATGATCTCAAACCTGATGCATCTTCATGAAAAGAGAATGGAGAGATTCTATTATCCCATATGGATTTTTGACTTTTAAGAAAGATAAAAAGGCAATGAATGCATTCACAGGAACATATGCATTTGTCTTATGCTTGTTTTATACACCCCCCCCACACATATGTTTCTCAGAAGAGAAAGTCAAGGTGAAGAAGGTATTTATCGACACTTAATATGCAAAATCATGAATGTGAAATGCAACAAAAATGTAGATTCTGATGTAGCAGCTCTGGTAGAGGTCCATATTTCTGAATTTGTACGAAGTTCAATAGTGATGCTAATGCCAGTGCAACAGGAAACATGAGATGGAACAGCCAAAAGGTATAACAGTAAAGGAAGAATTCACAGACAAAAACAGAGTAACAAGTATTTTAACAAATTATAAATTAGTAAGTGTAATAACCACATTATTTGAAGATTTAAAATACTAGACAACATTAACTTTTCTCACTTCCCTTTTCTTTTTATTTATTTATTTATTATTACTATTATTATTTTGTATGCCTTCATTTCTCAGGGAGCTATCTGTTGTTGCAGGCTATTTGATCACACTGTGAACCCCAAGACTGTGTACTGGAAAAACCTGTTTTTTGTTCTGGTGTGGCTAAGCCTTAGCAAACACCTTTAACCCAAGAGCTTTCTGTAAACAAGAGCTAAATAAACCTAATCATAGGAAAAGAGGAGACACACCAACCAGTAAACAGAAAGTGAACATGAGAAAAAACTACATAGAGAGTGAGAGGAAGTCCAGAGGATGGCTAGAGACTCACAGGAAGTAGAAAGGAGGGTCATTAAGTTTGAAGGGTTTTTAAGACAGCATGAAGGAGAAGGGTTTTTTCCTTCTGGGATATTGGTGGAGTAGGAAGGTCAGCTGGATGCTTTCTCTGCCTCTCTGAGTTAGCAAGTTTTCATCCCAGCATTTGGCTCCTGAGTCTTCATTGGTAAAATCAAGATTGGGATTTAAAAAAAAAAAAAAAACAAGAACAAAAAACCAACAATCTGTGCATTTGCTATAACCCTTCAAGAGGCTTTGAGTTCATGAGACCTTTGCCTGAGTAACCACAGGCCAAGAATTATAATTTGTGATGCTACTTGCGATTTTCTCTTATTTCAGCATTTTCTACAGCTTAGTGGGTTTTTTTTTTTAATCACATAGAATTCCCAAAATGATCTATGAGAGCGGTAATAACAATTTGCCTTTCTATGATTAAATGTCAAAAATATGAGAAATGTGCATTTTAATGAATTATTTTTTAATAATTGTTACAGGTGTCCTTTGTAGTCTTCATACCCGTTTCATATGTTCATCTCGTCAAACACTCTTTCCCCCTGTTTACAATGTCCAAAATCTTGTTTCCAAGCATCTGGAATATACACTAGGGTCACCTACAGCCACCATTCTGGGCCACAGGTCCATTAGCTTCTTCCTCCTGTCTAACTCCACCAGAGCATCCACTCATCAGTGTCTCCTCAGGCCTCTTTCCCAACCAACACTACCCACATAAGTATGTCATGCAGCAACCATTTCTGTTTGGAGTCAACACATTTTGCAATACTATGACTCACAGTATGGAACTGGAACCCTGAAAAGGACATGGGAGACCACATGCCATATTTTCATTAGAAACCTAGACTGTAAATTTATTTAGACCATTAATTCTCATATCAATGACAGTGTCTAAGTGAGACTGATGTTTAAAATATTTGGTACACTGTTACTGCATGTTCCTAATGAAATATTAAGTGCAGTTTATCCTATAAACAGCTGGGACTTAAATTCTTATCCATATGATTTTTATGTACAAAAATGTTATGCACATAAACAAGAACAATGAATACAGTCTCTGAAAGAGTCTGCTGGACAAACACACTTAGCATCTCAACCCACCATAAACCACTGCACTTGCAAACAACCAGCGCTCATTGACAGAAATATTTATAACTGGAATGGAGAAAATGATGAAAACTTGTACTTACAATTCTTATTCCTTTTGTATGTTTTTGACTCTTATTTCAATCTTTCTCAATACCCTCTATTTCTTCTCTCCTTGGTCTCTGACATATATCACAGAGAACACCAGTAACTAAATGTCATCACCCGGCAAAACTTACCTTCCACATTTTCCAAGAATGATATGTCTAACACAAGCTTACTACTTGAAAAAAAAAAAAAAGTAATTCTTTCCCTCAGAAGGTCCCTCCCAAAACCACTAACAACAAGATAGTCTGTAAAGAAAGGGGAGGTGGAATGAACACCATAAAATGTTAGACTCCTCCCTAAGGAGGAGTGTGGTTTCCTGGCTGGATGTGTCAGCACACCCAGCGGGCCGTGGAGGATGTGGCTGTCCTCATCCACATGTGCAGCTGGAGTTCTGTTCCGGCTATATGTAAAGAAGCAGGCCAAACACGGTTGAACCTGTGGCGTAAGGACCAAGTACAGAGAGGAAGTGTAAACTATGGAGGGCTGCATCAAGGAAAATAGGGAATGACTGAAGTCTCACATTAGATGTTTAAGGATCACAGATCGGAAGAACTCAGGGAAAACCAGAAGAAAACATCATTAAGGTCCTGACAAAAATTGATACAAATGACAAATCAAAGAAAATTAACATTTCCTGCAAATATGGAGGAATATTCAAGCAGGGCAAAGAATAAAATCCTCCCTCACACAGTAAATGCAATTATCTAATTACCAAAATTTAATGCCTTTAACAAAAACATGTTAAGGGCAGATTTTTAAATTACATATCAAATACAGTAAATAGACTTTCTCAAGTGTGTTTTGAAAGTCAGCAAGTGTCAATTAGATGAATTTCTGTCAGGCTGGTGCTAAGCCAAGTGATAGAAGCCACCAGAAGTAGTTAGCATATCGAGAAACTATGTTTAAAAAACCTTTAAATTTTTTTTAACAGAATCTTATTTAGCATAAGCTGGTTTTGAATAATCTATGATATAAAAGGTGACGCTAAACTCATTCCCTGCCTTCACTTCACAGTACAGAGATGATAAGGATGCACCAAGAACAAGCTTCCATTTTGTTTTGTTTCTTCAAACACAGGTGTGTTTAAGTGATACATACGTGAAGGACCTGTAAGTTACAGAAAAGCATATCTCTGCATCATGCCTACTTCGTAGGAAACTATTTTTAGTGCGCAAGGCACTGTACTCATCCCACTTTAAATAAAACCAATGCTATTCTCGTCCCACAAGCTAGTGACATAACTAGGAAGTGTCTTGTCTTACTTTACAGTTACACAGGCCACAGAAATGCTTGGACTGAAGATGGCTTAAAGCCCATATTCCTTATGAACAGACTTTATCGCTGCACAAGCACTTGATTTGACTTGAACTACTGCAAACTATGAAGCCATACAAAAGACAGGCCGAGGAATCAAAGAACCCCTAATGAGCAACAGCTCTTCAAGTTCACCTTCCAAGCTTTCTGACACTTTAGAGATACTTGGACAAATGTTTCCAGAAGGCGGTTCCGGGAGCATCAGGAAACCTGGAAGCCACATCAGGGACAGTGACAAGAGTAGTTGCCAGGGAGTTTAGACATTGTAGTATGCCCTGAGATAGAAGAAAAGCTCATGATTAAAGAGCAATGTAAAGCCTCTGTTGGTATGCAGGATCACTTCTACCCAGGGACATTCAAGTCTTCTCCCTGAAGAAGTCACTAATAATCTCCACGGCAGCTCTCGCCTCTCATCAACTCATCACTTGTTTCTGAAAAGGAGTCCAAACTTCTGACATCACAAATCTCTGAAATAATTGGATGAGGTATTATTTTCTAGTAATTTTTACTCTGCAATATAGGAGGAATAACTGCTTGCATGATGCAAAACTCAAACCTTCTCCCTTAGGACATTATACCGTCTCTACATGTGAGTGTTAAATCACATTCAGATCACAGAGGTGGCCACGAAAGATTCTCATTTAAGACAACAATCCAGAAATCTCTAATTTATTCCAAAGAAAATGGGACTAGCATCTATACACAAACCTCCCTAGCAGAACTGTCCCTGGAAAATAGGAACGTCTAGCACATCAGACCAAGAGTATTAGGCCGGCCATAGAGTACAGGAGTACCAGATCTCCACTACATCTAGAAGTCCTGAGAAATCTGCAGCCAAGTGAGAGTGGGTCAGCTAGTACCAACATGCTTCCCCAGACAAGCTGTAATGCGGGCTCCTATCAAGACCTCAGGCGCAAGCAGTGAGCTGGCCCACCCTGCCGGGAGCAATACTAAGCCTTGCTCCATTCCACACTTCTGGGCTACGGAGCCTGCTCTCCCATCCCTGAAACCTACCCCGCCGCGTCCTAACAAAGCTTTCACTCACAGCTCCACCCCCATACTGCTCTCCCCACCCCAGATCTGCATCCAGGCAGAGCTGAGGTCAGCAGCACAGCATCTCCCAAGTCGGCTTCTCCCCGCCCCTGATCCACCTCAGCTCCGCTCCCTCCAAGCCTGACCCCGCACCCCGCACGGTCCCTCAGGCTGCGCTGTTCCCTGGACCAACCTCCATGTCAGAGATCCAACGGAGAGCGAGGAGCAGACGCCAACACCGCGGAACTTAGGGGAAGACAAACGTCTGCAGACGGGATGCGGAAGTGCGGTTTGCAGCGCGGCTGCTTGTGACGCCACAGGGAGCACGACTACATTTCCCAGAATTCTTTGTTCTTCCCACTGTCAGCGGGGGAGGATGGTTTGAAACAAGAGATTTCAGCTCTGCTAGTGCTGCTTGTTAAAGGAGTTATGCTGCTTTAAAAGTCCCAGTTGAAAACCGGGCGTGTTTGAACGTCAGTTGAGGCGTTGGTAGGAAAGTTTATTAGTTATATCTGGTCAAACTGTCGTTTGAAGACTCGTCTACTAATTATAAAATCTTGCTACCCACAGGGAAAGTTGACATTCACTCAGTTGTACTTTAAAATAACGAAGCAAGAGACTAAAGTGGGAGGGAACACTATTACTTCAAGATAATTTTTTTAAATCAACTTTGATGTCCCCGACCTTTTAAGATGAAAGTATTCTAAATGCAAGACGGCCTGGCCAATTTATAGAGGCCTTGTCTCAAAAGTACAAAACGGAATAGGGAGGTATCTTGGGAGTAAAGTACATGCCTAGAGTGAAAGAAACCTTGGCTTCATACCTAACACTTATAAATAATATAACACATGTAAATAAATACTCCATGTTCTCCTGTGAGCCATACATGTATCAGAGTCCACAACTGAAAAAAGAGTTTTCCAGTGAGCGCTGGAATCCATACAGTGTAGGAGGTCGGTCAGGGACATAGACGGTAAAAAAAAAAAAAAAAAAAAAAAAAAAAAAAAAAAAAAAAAAAAAAACAGACAACAAAGTTAAGTTCTACTCTGACATTTACATGTAAAGACCTCCCAGAATCCACCGGAGGATCTTTCATCTGTCCATAGGTTCCTTGTTTTTACTTTCATCCATTAATCTGTACAAGAAACTTAATTTTATGAGAACCATATCGTGCACCAGCAGATGTTCCCCGAGCCTGTGGCTACCTCCTCTGCTCCTCTCCCGAGTAAGACACACTTCCTAGTATCAGAGCAGTGTGTGGACTCCTGGCCCATCATAGCCATTGTAGACTTTTGTCTGCATTAGGCATGAGCTATCTGGTTCATTTTCTTCTGTCTTCTCTGATCCTGACATTGCTTTTGTTTTGAAAGCCAGGTATCAGAAATACGATCACGGGGATATTAGGTTTGCTTGTTGGAACACAGAAGGTAGATTGGTGCAGTAATTAGACCTGTTTTCTTGTCTCAGGACTGTTTATTCATGTACTTGTCATGCCTTAGAATCGAAACTCACGAGATGGATAGTGTTTCACAAGGAAATATTTCTGATGAAAACACAGGATCTTGCTGGGTTTTTGTTTTTTTGGATTCAACTCCCCCTCCACCCCATTCTTTCTGTCTGTCACCCTCCCTTCCTTCCTTTCCTTTTTTTAAAAGGGTTTCTCTGTGTAGCCCTGGCTGTCCTGGAACTTGCTCTGTAGACCAGGCTATCCACCTACGCACAGATCCATCTGCCTCTGCCTCCCAAGTGCTGGGATTGAAGATGTGCCCCAACACCACCTGGAAGTTTGTTTAATTTTTACAACCACAAGGAACTCACATTCTCCTTCCTATTTTTTTCTCCTTACAATGATTAAGCATGACTTTTTACAAAGAGGGGTAATTACAGTGTACTCCTACAGGCCTTTAATAATAAACAGATGCAATCAGGAAATCATGTATCTGCTGTTTCTGTTTTGTAGTAACTTGACAAATTAATATAACTTCTAAAAATGACAGAGATATAAGCTTCACACCTCTTTCTATCACCAAAGATATACTGCCTAAGAGAATTATGATAGTCCAGTGAACATGCAGGAGACATTGTCACATGCAGTAATGCTGCTCATTTTGGAACACAATTGGAATGCATAACATCCATGAGGAAAGTCAAATTTTGTATAGGAGACTCTGAAGTATAAAATTTTACTGAATTGAATGAAAATAGATTCAAAATATGTAGTATAATTATCTAGAACTATAACCTTCCTTGTTTTGAGACAGAGCAGGCCTCAGCAAGTCAGCATGACACTGTCATCTCTTCCTGCTGCTATGGCCTCGGCACTGGGAGTGGCCAGCAGATTACACCTGTATTTCTTCCTCATTGCTTTCCTAAGGCATGTGACAAGCCACAAGGAATTAATGTTGATTTTGTCTAACAGTTTGAGAATAATTGTAGTGAAAGTTTTGGCTTCTTTCATGTTGTTTTTGGTCCCAAATGTGGGATGTGGAAATGTTTTTCGTTCATCCTCTATTGAAAACAAACTTGTGAGAGGTAGTATGATGCCTTGCTGGAAGCAGTTTCATGCAAGGGCATGGTTTTTGCCAGCTGAAAAACAGCCTTGTTAGGACTCTGAGAAGGGATAAATAGAAGCCCAAGGACAGGGAGACAACTTTTTGTTGCTGTTGGTTTTGTTTTGTTTTTCATCACTACATGTTGTGAGACCCACATTGCTTTGTTGATCTTCTTTTTTCTGCACTTCACTTCTCAGACAGAAGCTTCCAGAACTTCTCGTGGCACTCCAGCTGAGTCTCACCATTTTTGCTGACTCAAGCTGATTGGGGGGTAGGGATGGCGGAGCCTTTCTGTTTCTGCTGAATCATGCTGCTGCTGTTGATTCATGTTGCTGTTTGGTGTTTGCTATTTGACTGGACAATTGCTATTTTATCCAGGCAATGAAAAGTAGAATTGCCCTGAAGGACTATGTCTAAAAAGGTCCACAACCCCATTTTCCTAATAACCTTCTTTCTCCCCTGCCTCTGGTCAATGTGTTGGAAGGGAGGTAGAAGCAATTAAGAACCCTAAATAAAGTAGGGTTTTGGAAAATGGAAGCCTACAGACAATGTCCATTATGGAAGGAAATGCGTGGTAGTATTGAGAGAACCAGGCCTGACCCCCACCCATACCCCAAAAGCCACCAGTCCCAGGAACAGGTTACCAATTCCAGGAAGAAGACAGTGGAGTCCCCTATCCAAGGTATTGCCTGGAGAAAACCCAGTAATATTTAACCATCACTCCTAGAAACAGCTAATCAGTGAATAACCTGAATTTACCCAGGTGTTCTTTACAATAGGATGAGTAAAACAATTTCGGTTTGGCTTGGCCCTCTAGGCAAACAATTTCCTCTGGACACGGAACATTTGCTAAATGCCAATCAATCATAAAATTGCCTAGCTGGAATTTCCCAACCTTGCTGTAAACCTAAATAAAAGCCCACCATTCCCTAAGCGCTTGAGCTTGTAATAAAAAGCCCCTACTGTGTTTGCATTGGAATCAGCTCCTTGGTCTTTGGGGTCCGTGAGTCTTAGGCATAACAGTATGAGTATGAAGTGACAATGCACCAAAGCAAGGAAGCTGAGTGAACACTACAGTTTACTAAAAAAAAAAAAAAAAAAAAAAAAAATTTTTTTTTTTTTTTTGGTTGTTGCTGCCACTTTTCATTCTACTACCCTGGTCAATGGGCTGATGTTGTCCATATGTAGATGAGGTCATAATTATTCAACTTAATCTAGAAATTTCTTCACAGACAGGTCCTGAGGTTGTTTCCCATGGTTATGCTGAACATATAATTGACTATTAAGATAAATCATTACAGCTTCATCTTTGGTTAACTTGATACCCAAATACCTCACTCTAAACTATAACCTTCTGTCTTGGGCACCCTCTGGTTTCATTCTTATCTCTTACTAGGAAAGGCATATAATCTATCTCCAAATGTTTCATTGACTATAATAGTCCCAAGCCTGTCAAAGTCCAAAGACTCTTGACTTTAAAATTCAAACAGTTGCTAATCCCACAGTGTTTATAAAATTACTACTTCAATATACAATGGGACTGTGATAGCCATGTAGCAGGGACAAACAAGACTGAGATGGAAACCAAGTGGGGCCAGTGTAAACCCTATAGCTTCACATGCACAGCATCCGAGGTTCCTGACAGAATAATCTGGACCCCAAAGGGCTTGGTCCATGCTAACCTTCCATTGTTGCTGCTAGCAGCACAGGTGGTCTCCCTCGGGTCAGCTCCTCTCCTTACATGCAGATTAGAAGTAGATGCAAATGCTTATGTGTGCAATAAGCCAAACCTACCAGTCCAATAACTTTGAATTCAGCCTCACTCAGTTTTCAAAACATGGGCAAATGAAGGCATGTTCCTTGCCTGAACACATAAGAGCCTTACTCAAATTCCAGATAGACTCTTCTTTCCTTCTGACACCTCCTTAGCCAGGTGGCCAATGTCCACTTTGTCAAGGCTCTTTGAAACTCCCAGGCAAGGGTATTACTGAGCTATGCTTTCTGAGCTCTAGAGATTGTCAATTGTGAGGACTGAAATCCTGAAAATCAGTTTAAGTCCTGTTAATGGTCTGGTAATGCCCTCCCTTCTAGGTATCAACTTCCCTGTTTTTTCTCCCCCCCCCCCCGTTCCTGTGATAAAGTATCTTATCAAACTAGGAAAAGTTTATTCATTTTGGAACAAAAGTTGGGGTCCCAGCTATCCAGTGTGAGGCATGGACACCAAGAGCAGAAGATGTTGGTCACATTGCATTCCCAGTAATGATGAAGGAAGCAATGGATGCTTGTGTTCAGCTCTCTTTCTAGTTCTAATCCAAACCAGGGTCCATTGCATATTATGCTTTCTGTATTACTTTGCTTTCTACAGCAAAGGTGACCAAACGTGAGAGAAAATGATCTATTTCATCTTTCCACTCTCAGTTGATAGTCACTCACTGAGGGAAGCCAGGGCACAAGTTTAAGGCAGGAACTGAAGCAGAGAACATAAAGGTGTGCAGCTTCCTGGTGTACTCTCCAGGCTCATGTCTAGCTCCTTTTCTTACACCAACCAAGATAACTCACCCAGGGTTGCCACCGTTCACATTGGACTGAGCCTCCCCATATCAACCATCAATAATTGACTGGCAGACTTGCCTACATGATAACCTGACAGTCTCTGCTGAGGGTTTCTCTTCCCAGATCAAAGGTCCTGCCAAGTTGTGAAAAACCTACCA